TATTGTCACGAACCTCAAGCTCGTAACAATATCAATGAATTTTAATGATCCAAACACTACGGTAAGGTATCCATAATAAATACTACGGTAAGGTATAAGGTATCAGGATCCTGTACGTGTTCACAGACTGCAGACTTCCCGGAGTCTGTGAACACGTACAGGATCGCCCCCGTCACTACATCAGATTTGATAGACCGCAGATCCTCGCTAAAGAACACCGATTCCTTCCAAGGATGATTCGCGAGGCTATTGAAATCAAAAAACATCCTAATTTCAATAGAGAAAATGGCTGGGTGCTACCATCTGCTTGGGATCCTATAATAAATAAAATTAAATCCCAACCCAAGCATAATACAACTGCAAGACTTCAAGATACCATAAGTTCATACTGCATAGATCGGAACAAAAGTTAAATTTTAATCTATGGTAACCGCGGTTAACTATGACATATGGACGTTGAACATCTCAGTACTGCCCGTGACCATGAGTGCTGTAAAGCGTTCGAAACGTCGGATATTTCAAAAGTTCAAATATACGCGATAAATTCCGTAAAAACTAGTATTATTTCAATGTGTAGTGTTCGCGTAAATATAAGAAATCATTACAAAGAAACTGTAAAAAAATATTGATAAATATTTCACTTGTGTAACGTTAGGCCCACATTCACCCGTCTTCTTTGGAAACAATTGTTACGTCAAAAAAAATTTTTATAGGATTTGGTGACAAACGAGCACACAGTCCACGTTGTGGTAAGTGGTTGCTGTGGCTCATAGACATCTACATCTATCCTCGATTACGAATCAAAATGCAGATGCGTTGTCACCCGTGAGGACTAAGATGAAATGCCTCGTTTCCAGTAAAAAGGGGTCTCCGGTTCTCTACACTCACCACACGAAACACAGCAGCATTAAGCTACTATTTCACGCTTGTATTCTGTGAGAGCGCGGTCCTTCCCCGGACGAGCCGACCCATTCGTGCTTCAACTATACTTCCAATATAACTGCAGCATGGCTCTACCACGTGTAATAAATAATCTCTAATATATAATCTACCACGCATAAAAAAAATGGAAAATACATCTCGTGTTGACATATGTGTGAATTGACATGTTAGTGACATTTTAGTGGCTACACAGGCTCCGCCCACTCCCCGGTTCTATTATGTATGTATTATAGTATTCTGTGTGAGACATCGTAACATTGATCTGGACATTTTTAATTCTAACATTTCACGATTTAGAAGATCTGTAATTGCTACGTTAAATATGTAAATTTCACGGATATCATTAAATACGTTCTTTTATTTTTAATTGTCACTCATACTATGTATTATTAGTTTTTTTTTCTCTTTAATACTTGTCATATTTTGTTTTGCTGTGCACACTTTATTGGATTATAGACTAGTTATAATATTTTTGTTACTGTAAATGTGTTTTGTATTGTTTTAAATCTGTTTGTGTGCCTTATTAATAAAATTAAATAATAAATAACAAAGGGTATCCGGTTCTCTAAACATGCGAAACACATCAAACAAGTCTGTGAAAGCGTGGTCTTACCCTATTCGAGCTGACCCATTTGCACACAACCATACTATAGCTGCGTGGCGCATCACTTAGAAAAGTAAGTAATATGTCGGAAACTAAAGAAAAACAATTTATTGAAATGTTCCACAGCGCAAGTGGTTCACCACGAGCAACAAGTCGAACTGCCCGCTCTGCCGCTCCAGCTTCTAGCACACGCTCTTGTTGCGACGAAACTGTTCGTCGGCTGCCAACAATCTCTTATAGCCATAGAACGCTCCTACATACATTGTTAATGTTTAGCACTATTCTACAAATAACAGACATTTATATAATTACCAGTATTACCAGAATATTGTAAATACAAATCATGGGAGTAGCCATGTTCAGTTCTCACTGGAAATACTGTTTGTTAAAAATCTAATTACTTTAAAATTGATGCTTAAAGCCTATATAAAAACAGTGTTCATTGCCAAATACTCCAAAGCTACTCAATTTTAAGATGTTGTCTCGTGGTGTCACAGTCACTTTGACTTAGTGATAGAGACACAGCACCAGACTTAACGGCGTCTTAAAATTGGGCATCGTTTGATTATTTGACCATTTATCTTTACCAAAAATTTGACATTAGATTTTACTTATTGAATTATTATTTGAAAACTGTTAAACCAACAATTGTTACAATTTGCCTTTTGCTACGATCGTAGAATTCAGGTGGCCTTAGAATTGTAAGGGAGTGTAAATAAGTAATACATAATAAATTTAAATTTTAATATATTTTATTAAATTTTATTAAATTTGTACAATACAAGCGGTCATATTTATAAATTGTTAATTACAAATTAATGAATATCCTAGCGATAGTAACTTTTTCGCTTATGAAAATAAATAAGAAAACTCTTTTCTTGAAAAATAAATTATTTGAATCAGGACAAACAGTTTTATTTGTACACATCTTGTATAATAGTTTATATTTAATGGCAATTTTATGACTAGAAATATCTATATGGATGAGATCGAAAAATAGCTTAAAGTTACGAGGGGCGTTCAATGTATTCTATTCTCGGTATTAGTGCGATTTGCTAATAATGTAGGTAATTAAAAAAATCATAAGCTAACGACACTACCTGAAGGTATAAATACAAAATTTCATCTTGATAACTTAAATGTTTTCCGATCGGCTCGATTCACTGGCGCTTCGAAGAGATGTTGCATCTCTTTGCATTTTATTTCGTATATACCATGGGGAGTCCTCTGAGGAATTGTTCGAATTAATCCCAGCCGCCAAATTTCGTGAACGCACTACGCGGCAAACGTCCCGATACCATCCACACCATCTGAATGCTTGGCGGTCCACCACTATACGTTTCACAAAGAGTTTTCTTCCGCTTACGACCTCTCTGTGGAATAGTTTTACACCAGCGATTTTTCCGAACCGACACGACCTGGGGACCTTCAAGAAAAGAGCTTACTCCTTTCTAAAGGGCCGGCAACGCACCTGCAATTCCCCTGGTGTTGCGGTTGATCATGGGCGGCGGTAGTCACTTAACATCAGGTGAGCCGCATGCTCGTTTGCCCCCTCTTCTATAAAAAAAAATTACTTCTCATGTAGCCTTCAGTCATAAAACGACGGGAATGACTGACACGACGAAGTTGAAAAAAATCAAACACCCAGCGGCGATTTAATTTCTTACTAAACAAGGAAAAACTCAATAAAAAAAACGTTTACCAAGACTGCTCCTTCAATGACAACTGTATAGAAGTGGTCAAGTGAAATCAAAAGAGGCAGGGAAAGCATCGAAGATGACCACCGCCCGGGTGGGTCAATCACAGCTGCTACAGATTAAAAAGTGAAAAATTATTGAAAAACTTGTATTAGAAGATGCACAAGTAAGAATTAAGATGTAAGTAGAAATGGCTCACCTATCTGTTAGTACCATACACCATGTTGCATGACTATCTCAACCTTACAAAAGTGAGTGCAAATGGATGGATGAAAGCAGGCGCAGATTGTAGGGAGCCCCTCCCCCCAAATTCAGGCACTCCATCGGCAGGTAAAATCATATCCATAGTGTTTTGAGATTGCAAAGGAATACTATTGATCCAGTACACAAAAAAGACTACACAAAGAGAACAGGAAAGCTGACCAAGGGAGTGCTGCTTCATGAGCACGCACCGGTTCACACGACGCGGCTCTCCAATGCTGCTGTACGAGACTGCACGTTTGAGGAAACCATACAGTCCAGGTCTAGCCCCTAGCGACTATTTTTATTCCCAAACTTAAAAAAGACCTTCGGGGAAAGCGATTTGCTGACGATAATGAGCTCAAGTCCACTGTAAATGAACATTTTTCAGGCCAAGACGAAGAATAGTTTTTCAAGGGAATAGAAAAGCTTTTTTACGAACAAGTACATGTATTGGATGTTATGGAAGACTATATTGAAAAACAAAAAATATTTCGTAATTTTAATTTTTTTTCTATCATACCCATACCGAGGATACATTGAACGCCCCTCGCACATTGATATTTATTATAATTTGGCTACAGACATGGCGGAACTGTTATGCTCAACGCCTCTGCTCATTCTGCTTCCCTATCCCAAGTGAACAATTGCTCTCGAACATCTTGAATTATAACAGTGACGAACAAGCTATCGATCCACCTGATGGTTTGTGGCTTCAACCAGTGAATACCAGAAACTAACTTTAAACAAAGGAGGGTATTTTTTAAGTGTTGCATTGGCGTTGCCACTACTAAGGACTAAGATGTAATGCTTCATGGCCAGTTACCCTATTGGCTTCGTTCTTCCCACAAAAAAATGGAACACAGCAATGAGTCACTGCAGCTTGGCGGAAATACAAGAGAGTACTATACATAACTGCTAGGCAGAAAAAGACTCGCCTTGTAAAACATAGTTGTAGTCACCCATTATAACTTACAGACTCAAAAGTGATAAATATTATAATCATAAACACTGTCTTGATTAATACTGCACATCTTTGATATCTAATACCTTAAAACACCTTAAAACATTCAACAATGAATGTATAGGTAAACTTTGTCTATGATTGTCATAGAAGAATTAAATGTAATACATAATACAATAATATACATTTGAAAGAACATTATAACGGCAAGTTCTATTTGTAGGTTAAATTTTTTTTATTAACAAAAATGTCTGGTATAACATGTTTGTGCAGTTATTTTTATGCTCTATATAGTTGTTGGTACATCTGTTAGTGATCGCTTAACTTGTGAACATATTGACTCCTTGAGATCATATTCACACAAATCCGATAGGTCTGATAGTGCCAAAAATACCTAACAAAATCTAGACTTGATAGGTTTTGTGGTCAAGTGATGAATAAAATTATTTTTACTGTAAGAAGTCCGGAGTAAAACTTATCGCACCGCCTACCGAAACGTCTGCCAGGTCAGTTAGTGTTAATACAGAACTGTGGAATCACAGATGATGGAAGTCTAATGTGTCTGCAGCTGTCTGTTGATCCAGTCCATGTCCTCATAGAAGCGTGGGTCACTAACTCGCAGAGCTGCACGCTTATAGAAGAAGTAGTACCATGGTGACACTGTTCAAAAATATATGCATAAAATTAAAACTTTGTTAAATGTCAGAAAGAAGAGGAATTGCTGTAATAACTACTTTAAACTTGACAGACAGAGTTTAAGTAATCTCCATCGCTTGGCTCGCCACTGATTGGCCAGTGCAGTACTACCAAAGTGTTACATGTTTGGCAATTCATCATTACAAAAATTGCCAGTCAAGGTGAGAGCAACACCCAAGCAGCAAGATGAATGGTACAGCAACTTCCAATACTTGTATTGACAAATGCATTTACTATACAAGCGATAACTTGTCTTAAAAACGGTCAAAAAATTTCAAACCGGTTAAAGCCTAAGTACATAGAATTGCTTTCTTTAGTTATGTTAAATATTGTTGCGCGGCTAAGTTGACATCTGGCACTAGCGCCATCTAGTGTCGGGTAACGGAGCGAGGGGAGAGCTTTCCAGAAAATAACATCACTAATCTTTCAACCGACAGCGCCATCTGTTGTCGAAATGAAGAACTAAGCTTCTGGAAGCTGACTCTCGAACTTTCGGCGCTTTGTCGATTAGTGCGCGTATTTACTTGAATGTTCTGGATGATTCGGTACTAATGTGTATTTATAGGCGCTGCAAGGTGCGATCGGGGAAGTATTGAATTTGGCGAGACAAGCGAAGCTTCGGAGCAGAATAAAGTGAATCAGTGTGATTAATTATTAGTGTTTTAAGTTTAATTAGTGTAAAGTGAATTAAAGTGTTAATTTAGGTAATTTTATCGGCAATTTTTATTGTCACGAACCTCAAGCTCGTAACAATATTAAACTGTTTCAAGCAACACTATTCAAAGTTTTACGTTGAATAAGCACATATTTTAACTGTTTATTTCACCTATGATCAATTCACGTGACAACCGGAAAGTTAATAACAATTCATTAATATTTATACATTAGTAATAGTTTTAAATATCACGTTATTGCATTTAAAAATTATCTTCACCGAAAGAGCTTATAATTGACTCCCCGGTAGTGTAGCTCCTACGACAGTATATATTAGTGTTAAGGTAGGATAATTTTAAAGTATTATAATTAAAGTCATAGCGAGAGTAACATGCCTGTCTTCATTTAACACTTTCCAACATTACATGGAGATTCTGCCACGACTACATGGCGACCCTGCCAGGATGAAAGTATTGGTACAATTAAATAATAAATTATATAAGCTGAAATGCCAGATATGAAAAGAAGTGAATGAAATAATATTGTTTATTGTCTTGATCGTGTATGATTGAGTAGTGTACATGAAAAAAATGGCATAATTGTCTAATAAAGAATGCCTAAAATGCTGAGAAGTTAAATCAAAAATATATAAGGGAAAAAACCACTATATAGTATAAATGTCCGTACTTGAAAAGTCTTATAATGACAAAACGATTTAAGGGATTAATGACTTAATACCTAATCCTGAAAATAGTTTGTTCAGAATCGTTTACTAAATCGATTTCTATCATTTTAATATAAGTAATTTTTTATCCCAAAAATAATAAAAACTACGTAAATTAGTTAAACTAAACCTGTAGTCACATCAAACTGAAATGGACCGTAACTCAAGACAACGAGACTTGCACTAAAAGTGCAGTTTTATTTGTATTATAATACAAATTCCGTCATTCATGTCATTCATGAATAATGAACCTTATTTCAAGCATGTTAGTCTTTACAAATACAGTTAGGTATTTGAAGACTTTTTTTGGCATTGTGAAAATAAAATTATAAGAAAATATGTAAACGTTTTAAATTAATAGACTGTGATAAAACTGTACAAGACTGTGTGACCTCGACATTAATATGGGACAGGGGGATCTGGCCACCCCATAGAGTATACTACAAATAATATATAATAAGGTTGCAGTTTTATAATTTATATTCATAATAAACATAACTTTTATATTTCACACTATTAAGTTTAAAAAAACCTATTCATTTCTTTTTTTATATTTTTTGTCAGTAGGAGGTGTAGTGTAGCCCCCACGTCAGTATATATTAGTGTTAACGTAGAATAAGTTTCATCATCATCATCATTACAGCCCTTCACAAGTCCACTGCTGAACATAGGCCTCCCCCAAGTAATGCCACAAAGCACGGTCCTGAGCCACCTGCATCCATCGACTTCCTGCATGTCTTACCAGGTCGTCACTCCATCTAGTGGGGGGTCGCCCTACACTACGCCTACCGGTACGAGGCTGCCACTCGAGAACCTTTCTTCCCCATCGGTTATCGGTTCTTCGAGCTATATGGCCGGCCCATTGCCACTTCAGCTTACTAATCCGTTGGGCTATGTCGGTCACTCTGGTTTTACTGCGGATATCCTCATTTCTGAGTCTATCACGCAGAGAAACTCCGAGCATAGCCCTCTCTATAACTCGCTGAGTGACCTTGAGCGTCCTCATACGGCCAGCAGTGAAGGACCACGTCTCAGATCCGTAAGTCATCACTGGCAACACGCACTGGTTATACACTTTAGTTTTCAGATTGAGGTATACCTGACGAGAAGATGTGTCGTAATTTCCCGAACGCTGCCCAGCCGAGTTGAATCCGTCGATTGACCTCTCGGTCGAAGTTGGACTTACCTAGTCGGACTATTTGTCCCAGGTAAACGTACACGTCAACAACTTCGAGCATAGTGCTCCCAACAACTACCGGCATAGGTGTGACATGGACATTAAACATGATCTTTGTTTTGTCCATGTTCATATTAAGACCTATCCGTTGGGAGACACCATTGAGGTCATTGAGCATAGTGCTAAGGTCCTCCAGCGATTCTGCCATAAGGACTATATCGTCGGCAAATCGAAGGTGAGTGATGTACTCGCCATTGTGTTAATACCATATCATTTCCCGTTCAGTAGCTTGAAAACGTCTTCCAACGCAGCGGTGAAGAGTTTCGGGGATATAACATCACCCTGTCTTACACCTCTCTGCAGTTGGATAGGTTTCGAACTCTGGTTCTGTACTCGGATAGCCATCGTAGCCCTACTGTACAAACACTTCAGCACTTCGATATACCGAGAGTCAACTTGGCACCGCTGAAGGGACTGTAGCACCGCCCAAATTTCGACGGAATCAAAGGCTTTCTCATAGTCCACTTATGCCAGGCAAAGTGGCAGATTGTACTCTTCGGTCTTCTGTACAATCTGCCGCAGGGTATGTATGTGGTCTATGGTACTGAAGCCTTTTCAGAAACCGGCTTGTTCGGGAGGCTGGAAGTCGTCGAGTCTGCGTGCGAGACGATTCGTAATGACTCTCGAAAACAGCACGTAGACGCGGCTCAGAAGGGAAATCGGTCTGTAGTTCTTCAAGAGAGCGTTGTCGCCTTTCTTAAAGAACAAGACCACCGCGCTTCTGCTACACACCTCCGGAGTAGTACCACCATGGAGAATAAGTTTAAAGTAGTATAATTAAAGTGTTCAAATGAAAAGAGCTGCATTACTTTTGCTATGACTATGTCCACTCCATGAACTCCGATAGTATTTCCGCTTAAAGCTATCCACTTTAGTCAATAATTCGAATTTTAAAACTCGCATCTGTTAGGGTAATCATATCTTACCTATAACTATGCCTAACTCCAATCATCTCTGTGACTCAACGAAAAAAGCAATCTACTCCTTAATGACCGCGTTTTTACTGCGTTTATTGTACTCTTGTGCTTCTTCTAATTAAAACACTAATAAAAAAAGAAATCAATATGGATAACAGTAATATATAAAAAATACACCCACAGCATCTTTGCAATGTAAACAGCACAATCAGCATTGGTGTAGAAACAGATTCCGGATCCGACCACTTCTCAAGCAGCCACACAGCATGTAGAGTCACGCTGGTTACCATGTATGCAGCAATGACAGACCCCGCTGCACGGAATTTGCGGATTAATACCTCCAACAAACCAGCCTGAAGAATTAATAAAAAGAAAAGTATTTTATTTCTGACCATTCTAAGCCTTAATAAGAAATAAGAATAAAACATTTCAAGCACCCACTTCTTATTCAGTCAAGTCTGGAAACTTTACCAATGGAAGTTAACTTTGCCATCAGCTATATACAGGTACAAAATTACGAATAATATTGAGAACGTAACTCTGATGAAAATTTAATAACTAATTGACAACATTGTTTTCGATATGGCTACATGAAAGTTAATTTTGGCATTTTATTTTAACTTGGAACTGTGACGGCGATTTAAGGAACGCGTCCACTAGCCCGTGCTGGACGCATCGCACGCACGGTGAAAACGGTTAAAATTAAAAATTAATTCAAAAATTGTACATAATAAATTTTGTTATTTGCAGCATAATTAAAGGAGCAAAGTTTAACTCTGAGTATTGTTTATTATATTATGAGGTAAACTTACCTTCAACTTTTAAGTCAAATCCTATTATTTTCATTATAAACCCTGATGGTACCTTATTTTGTCTATTTAATGTTAGTATTTGGTTAAATTACTAACAAATATGAAAGCTATGAAGAATATAGTGTCACTTTTAATATCATCAAGCTACAAAGGTAAAATCCATTGGTATGGTTAGGCACCAAAGACTTTGGAGCTTTGAACTGTGAAGAATTCTTATAGTTTAAATTAAAAATAGAAAAAGGTAAAGTGTTAATGTAAGAAAACATATTGATGGTCTTGTATTTATTTAGATTCAAAAAAGGATATTTTTTAAACCAAAAATATCAATGTGATAAGGAAGCCAAGTGATTTCTCAGCAGGCTGGAAAAAAAAACTTGGGGCCCCTTTTTTACTTTTATTTTTTTATTAGTCATTCTTATTAAATTCATTATAGGCCTATTTCATTGGTTTTTAGTACTATTATAAAATAAAACAGACAAAAATGTTGAACAAATTTCTTACTTACTTAAACAAATATGTAGAGAAAAAAGTCATCAACATCATAGTCACAGAGAGAATTAAAAATAAGTCTTGGAATCTAAAAATAATATGAATTGTAATTAGGGATACAGTTTAAACCTTAAAACAATAAAAAACAATGCACCCAACTGTTTTACATACATGAATAATACAAGTAATCCATCATGGCTCTTCGGAAATAAGCTAATACAGTTAAATATTAGATCGCAGAACATAAAAATAAGCTGACTGAATAAACAAAATGTATATCTTGGTGTTGATAACTTCATCCTTTAAAATATTATTTGTAATTATAATTAACACACCAATGTGAAGTCATTGTTATGGGTAATTGCAAAGATGCACTAAATAATATTTAAAAGTAGTCATTATTTTCTATTTTAAATATGTAACATAATCACAAAACAAAAAATAAGAGATAAAAGGTATTTATTATATTTTTTGTGTCGTCGATGAAGAAATTTTAAACTCTTGTGGATATTATCACTGTAGTAATTAACATTTATGATTATCACATAAATACATTATTATACTTTTAAGTTAATTATCACTTAATTGTTAAGCAAAAAGCATTAAATTAATACCAATGGCAAAGAGAAAAGGGACAATTTAAAACAAAATACTGATACGAATATATGAATTAACTATCTAGTAACATCGTATGTTGATATGACATGGATTACATATTGCAATCAATTGAAATTTAAAACTATATTTTATTCAAATTTTACTGAATGAATGTAAGTAAATAAAATAAATGGGTGCGTTCGGCAGAAAAAAGCGCTAGCAAGCGCTTGTAAGCAAAATGGCGATCGTAAGCGGTAAGCGCTGTCAAATCGTAAGTAGCTATTTTCCTCCAGGACACGATGTTAGTTTTAACCGGGGAATCTAACCTAATTTAAATATATGTTTGTAAAGTATTCATATTAAAAACTTACCAATCATGAGTTTTTAATAGCATGTATATGTTTATTCATGTCATTATATTACTTAAAACTAATATTGCACAAAACAACTTATAAACTCTACTTCAAAACAAACAAATTAAATAAGCAAAATGGCAGATTGTGTCAGCGCTACTGAAGTAGCAATTGTGTCCTGGCCGAAAACTATTTTAGCGCTTATAAGCGCTTGCTAGCGCTTTTTTCTGCCAAACGCACCTAATAATTCAAAATTAAATTCTATTTCATTGCCGGTTTATTGATTATTGATGTCAAAATGTCAAATCAAGTCAGTGCTGCCAGATATTTTTCACGTTCCCCCCTAGATTTTTCCCAAAAAACCCTAGTTTCCCTATGTAGGGGGATAAAAAACCTCTGAATTTTTTATCGGCCGAGTTTCGTGTGACTCAGATTTGTCAAAAATAAAAAGTTTCTACTACATACAATGAATGACAGCTCGTAAAAACTGTCCATTCGGTCGGAGCTAAGTTCTGCAAGACCCGCCGCAGAAGAAAACAAAAACTCTCCGATCACACTCTTAATTTCATGGCTGTTAGACGGGAAATGAGGCTGCAATCGTCAACAGATTACAGAGAGCATACAGGCAACTGAACAGACAGATCTCCAAATGCATGCGGCGAGACTTACGCAACTTTAATACTGCTTGTATTAAAAAAGCGATCGAGCGGAACCAGGGCTCCAAAGTCTTTGCCAGAGATCTCTCTGCCAGAAAGAGTTAACTGTCAAGGCTGAAGACTGAGTGTAGCAATATCGTTTCCGGGACACCTGAGATTCTGAGTGAGATTGAGAGGTTCTATGGGCAGCTGTACACATGGTGTACAGCAGCAAGTGTGAGTAACGATCCAAGAGCAAGTCTTATCCGACACTATTCCGATGATATCCCGGACGTCAGTCTGAGCGAGATTAGAATCGCTTTCCACCACCTTAAAAATGGCAAGGCCCCGGGCGAGGATGGAATTACAGCGGAGCTTCTGAAAGCGGCTGGAACACCGATACTTGAAGTCCTTCAGAAGCTCTTCAATTCCGTCCTCCATGGTGGCACTACTCCGGAGGCGTGGAGCAGAAGCGCGGTGGTCTTGTTCTTTAAGAAAGGCGACAACGCTCTCTTGAAGAACTACAGACCGATTTCCCTTCTGAACCGCGTCTACGTGCTGTTTTCGAGAGTCATTACGAATCGTCTCGCACGCAGACTCGACGACTTCCAGCCTCCCGAACAAGCCGGTTTCTGAAAAGGCTTCAGTACCATAGACCACATACATACCCTGCGGCAGATTGTACAGAAGACCGAAGAGTACAATCTGCCACTTTGCCCGGCATAAATGGACTATGAGAAAGCCTTTGATTCCGTCGAAATTTGGGTGGTGCTACAGTCCCCTCAGCGGTGCCAAGTTGACTGTCGGTATATCGAAGTGCTGAAGTGTTTGTACAGTAGGGCTACGATGGTTATCCGAGTACAGAACCAGAGTTCGAAACCTATCCAACTGCAGAGAGGTGTAAGACAGGGTGATGTTATATCCCCGAAAGCCCGAAACTCTTCACCGATGCGTTGGAAGACGTTTTCAAGCTACTGGACTGGAAAGGATACAGTATTAACATCAATGGCGAGTACATCACTCACCTTCGATTTGCCGACGATATAGTCCTTATGGCAGAATCGCTGGAGGACCTTAGCACTATGCTCAATGACCTCAATGGTGTCTCTCTGCGTGATAGACTCAGAAATGAGGATATCCGCAGTAAAACCAGAGTGACCGACATAGCCCAACGGATTAGTAAGCTGAACTGGCAATGGGCCGGCCATATAGCTCGAAGAACCGATAACCGATGGGGAAGAAAGGTTCTCGAGTGGCAGCCTCGTACCGGTAGGCGTAGTGTAGGGCGACACCCACGAGATGGAGTGACGACCTGGTAAGACATGCAGGAAGTCGATGGATCCAGGTGACTCAGGACCGTGCTTTATGGCATTACTTGGGGTAGGCCTATGTTCAGCAGTGGACTTGTGAAGGGCTGTAATGATGATGATGATGATGACTACATACAAGCTACGTAATTAGACCATTCAACTCAATGGACGAGTTCTGCGCTGCGCCTAATGCTACGAACAAAAAAGTCTGTCACTTTTGGTGCCGGGGAAAAACACTACATAGACAGTACTGCTCACCTACTAAATAAAATTTTGTGTCACTAAGGCACACACAAATCTAAATCTCCAACACTATTACATTTTATGCACACATGTAGGTTAAATACGTCAATATAGAAAAAGTTATGAGTATAAGACGAACAAATTAATTGCGATACTACCATATCGAAATTTTATATCGATAATGAATTGTCGGCATTGTCTGTTTTGAAAAATAATTCGGAAGTTGGTAAGACTAGTGAAAAACCTTCAGAAAACCCTCTAGATTAATTTCGTGATATTAAAACCTCTAAAAAAACCTCAACGTCCTACAAAAACCCCTAGATTGCGGAAAAACCTCTAGATCTGACAACACTGAATCAAATGCAAACAGCAAATGTCACAAAATCACTTTATAGATCGAATAAAGAAATCTATGCCTATACAGCCTTATCAGATTCTGTATTTTGTTCATACAAATTCTTAATCCATCATATTATTGCAGTTTTAGGGAAATTTTGATGAAAGTGCTTAGTGGACAAAAACCTTGAGATTTTTATATCACTATCGAGGCACTTATTACACCGTTTATCATTAATAACTCATATGTGTGTGCGCGGACATATAAGCCGCGCAGATAGAGAATAGACCTGAAAATGGCGTCCGCTCGCATGCGTTCTCGCTCACTCTCTATCGCTGTCTATACTCACACAGTCAAATACGCGCTACAAAAAAATAGTCAGTCAAGATTCGCTTTCCACGTTACTTACCGTTATATTCGTTTTGTTGTTTTCGTTGATATTCATTGTTGTTTTTGTTGAGTTTGATTATTATTTGTTTGTGTTACGTTTGATTGTTATTTATGTTCGTTGAGTTTTTGTTACGAACGTTGACATTTTGTGATTGATTGAACAATGGCTTCACGAAAACGTGGAAAGATTCTTCACAGTGCGTGACATTGTTTACGACGTTATAAAATACTTTGACGAAGAGAAGAACTTGGAGCGTTATCATCCGTTAAAGTATAGCGCCGCACGTGCAGCGATGGCGACTAATTTATCGAGGGCTACTATTTTATCTATGGCTACTATATCGAAAATAAAGAAAGAAGGTAATGACATGGTACCTACACATTATTTTACGCGGTTGCTTTATGGGCGTGACCAAGGTAGACAGATAAATCAATTTATTTGAAGATGATTAGCCTTACCTCTATCGAGTATGATTTTTTATATAGGGTTTCTGGCCTGGAAACGATTTTTTTTTGCGCCCGAAGCAAATATGGGCAACCCTCCGCAAAGCGGGGGAGGGAGGTTGGGAATGCTCATAGCATACCACGCAGCCGGCTGCGTGGTTATGTGGTGACTTTTACCTACTAAACCCAACCTTTTAGGACTAAACCCAACCTTTTAGGAATTGGCTTAACGATCTGACTAGAGATCTCTAAGCCGTATACGAACGCGACTCTCCTTGGCAGAAAGGAGGACGAGGCCTGGAAACGAGTGTGGTTTTTATATAAATAGCTTTTGGCCTGGAAACGAGTGTGGTTTTTATATAAATAGCTTTTGGCCTAGAAACGAGTCCTTTTGGCAGCGAGTATGACTAAGTTCAGTGTCGCTTTATAACGATAACTGACAGTAATAGTAATATTTTACTCTTATTTCAGGTAAACTTGTAGAACAAACCAACACCAAGCTCCGTACGCAGAGTTAGGGCAGAAAAGGCAAAAACAATACGCGTGTCCCCTTGGACAACTTCGATATATGTGCCATTAGAAATATTGTGGCCTCAATATACGACGTTCGAAAGGAGGTATCTACGCTGAACTAGATTCTGACGTCAGCAAAAGCTGAATTAAACTATAAAGGCTCCAAAACGACATTAAGAAAGATTTTAAAAGAAAAGCTCGGATTTAAATTTAAAAAATGCCGCCAGAACCGAATGGTGCTCATAGAGCGCGATAATATAAAAGCGTGGCGAGTTAAATATTTACGCCGCCTCCGACAAAATGATGCCATGGGTGCGGAAAAAAGAAATTAGTATATATGGATGAGTCGTGGATCCATGCCCATTATACTGTCAGCAAGTGCTGGCAGACATCCACCGAAAAAGGCGTTTGCAAAAATGATAGTCCAGGACAAAGGTGGATGATGGTTCATACCGACTCATAGTATGGGTTTGTGGAGGGTGCAGGATTATTATTTAAAGCTAAATAAAAAAGGCGACTACCATAAC